GGAAAGAGACACAAGTTGTTAGATCCTTCATAAGCACCTACTTGACATTCCAGAAGGTGTGGTACTAATACTATCTAGTTCATAACAGAAGGTGCAATAGTTGTAAACATACTTGTTAATGTTGGCAATCAAAGGTTCCAAAATATGTTGTCTCTTTTAGTTCAATATTTTATAGCTATCAAAATCATGTCCCTTCCATCACAAGGATTTATTATCTTGAAATTATTATAAGCTAATACTGGAAACACAAACACCACTTAGGCATGAGAAAAAAGCAATAAAAAAAGTCCAGTATTAAAGAATCTAAGAATACCAATGAACTTTACTAGCTGATTTAATTACGTATCATTTTCAAATACATTAGCTGTCAGACATCTATACAAGCACATTTGATAATTTAAAAACACTTACCACCAATGAATTATATATGAAGTGCTCTCTCCTATCAGCTATAGGTGGTCTAACAAGTTCGCCAGTGTATTCAATCACCTGAATAAATAAATATGTCCATCCTTAAAAGTTGAAATGCTCAAACAAAGGAGGCTCATTCAAATGGAAAATATTCTCTTTACCATGTCTCCGCCTTTATATGGATGCTTTGCAAAGATGCCAAATCCATGAATCCTTGATTTCCCTTAAAAAAAATATATTTAATGGTAAGATAGGATCACTCCATAGTTAAATCTCAAATTACAATCCTAATGCCAGTAATAGTCAACTTTCCAAATCAAAAACAGAATTGCCCTCTCCCCCACCATTTTCAAAAACTATTAAACAAAAGTATTCTTACCAAATGCCAGCCGTTTCCGAAAAGTTTCCCTCATATACTTATATTTTTCAGAGATAGACAGTATGCTGTTAGAAGCATCAATCAGAGAGGTTCTCAGCCTTTGTTGGCTACAAAAGAATTTGGAGCAGACACCTCTGCCACAAGACTCTAGGTTGTCTAATGATCCATGCTGGCAGTATCCACCTACTAAGTAAGGTTGATTCTCCACAAACAAACGTTTTAATGATGCAGCTGCAAGTGCTTCAGGTTCTTTTCGACCTCTCCTGCCAAAGTAATCATATGGTTCTGCCCAAGACAAAACCTTAATTAATAAATTTATCTTTAAAATATAAGTTGAATAATTTATAAATACTGCAAGAGGGAGGGCCAGATAGTGAGAACAAGACACGCATATCCTTTGACCAATAAGAACTAAAATGCAGAAATGAGAACATCCAGCAAAACCTTCTCCACAAAAGATATAAAGTGCAAAGCTCATCAAAAGAAAAAGGTGGCCCATCTTACATACCCATCAACCAAGCAATATATAAAAGGTAGTCGTCCACACCCTTTCCACCAAGCTTCAACTTCTCTATCAACATGCATCATACACATCCTTTAATCTTATATATGTATCTTCAAGGACCTCTATTTGAACCTTAGAAGTATTAATGCAAAAAGCTTCCTTTACCAAATGATATATACTCCTAAATTAACCCAAAAGTCCAAAACACAACATAACAAGCTGGGAAACTAAGAACTTCAGCAAGAGATGCAAGAGCATTATTTGTACCAGAGCAAAATAACCCATTCTATGAACTGGGAAATGATTGATTTTGAGGTTGCCCATATTCTTTGGCAGACATGGACAGATACAATAAATGGGTGGCTTGGCATTGATCTTAAAAAAAAAATTCATAGGACATTTTTACATCAGCTCAGCTACTCTGCCTCCCAGCTCCTAGCACACTACTATTTCCCTTTCCAGATGGTACTAACACTGTTTAATAAACAGTCAATTGCAGATCGAATCAAAACAAAAGAAAACCAACTTCAAGCAATGTGATTTTAATATCCTTGTCATTAGTCTGGTATGAAACAAAGCATGATGTAATTTGCAAATCAATTTGCTTTATGCTAAATAGGGAATAACTGGAACTGAGCCAAAGATTTTATGCTCCAAAATGTTGAACATGAACAGGAATTTATATAAAATAGCAAAGTAACAAGTGAATAAAGTGAGAGACAGAGCAACAGCAATTTAATTAAAGGTCACCAAACATAATTTCCATCTTTTTTCTTGGTTGCTGGAGGTTAAGCAAGCAAACAATATGAAATTGTCAATTTGTTTTAGTAAAACAAGTGCCAAATATCATACCACTTCGAGCACAACCAGACGGATTAGGTGGTGGCTCATAGTCTGAACATTGACCAGCAACTCGAACAATACGTTCATCGGCAACAGAATGTTCATTAGATGGCTGCCTATGTTTCTTGCAGAAAGAAAGTAAGCGTATGCACTGATCTTCATCATCATCAACAGAAAGTAGATAGAGCCTGTCCTCATTCTCAAGCTATAGATGATAAAATTACAAAATAAATAAATGGAAACTTGAATATTTTCTGCCTGATAGAAATACTTATATCAAACCAACACACTCTTGAGGTTAAAACAACATAACATAAAAAACATACTGGAAAAGGGAGAAAAAAGAGAGAAATACCTCAACACAGAGACCAGCGGCGCGTGCACAGAGTGGATGATAAGCTACTCGACAAGAACTGTTTGAACACTGCAGAATTGACATTTGGGGAAAAATGCAATTGAAATTAAAAAAATAATAATCAATATAATAAATACTAGCTAAGCCCCATGAATTGTGTTATACATACATATAAACATGCATAAACACAGACACACATGGAGTACATCAAGTGCAAGACAAGCTAATATTGACCCATACAATCAGACATTGATGATCGAGAGTGGTTTTACTTAAAAGTACAATCTTGACCATTCTGATATATTTGTATGGTCAAGAGTAGATCCTTTCAAGCTCTCACCTGATATGCTCAACATGTATACATACACAAAAAATCTTTTCAAAAAGTGACTGAAATTCATGTATGTTTTATTGCAACTTTAGGCATAGGTTTGGTAACAGAGCTTTGATGCTCCAGCTGTCAAGAATTACCTGCCTATTGACCAAGAAAAGGCCATCTTAAACTACTCATTAATTTAAAACTCAAACGACTTACTTGGATGCAGGCACCATAAGATACACCACATATGCTGCATAACAACTTCCAGCGGTCCTGTTCAGATACAGAATTAAAAAGAAAGACAATGGAGAAGCAGTTCATACTGATTTAGAACTCATGACAAAATCACTGACACTAGCAATTTGGTAAAAGAGAAAACTAACAAAATGTTTGTAGCCAAAATAATTGGAAACACTGAAGCAAATCAAAAGAAAATAGAAAGAATAATCAGTAATCAAAGCCTACCTTACTGATTCTACTCAAACCATCAATAGGCTCCATTCTCTTTACATCAGCTAAGCAAGTTTCTGGCAAAAAACATAACAGTAAGTAAACATAACCAAACTAAGGAGTAAAAAAGAGTAAATAAAGTCATACACAAACAAACCAGGTATCCACATGGCACAAGCCAAATGAGCCCACCGGCCATCCGTAGTAGGCTTCATTGCACCACCTAGAAGAAACTCCATTAAATACCCAAAGGCATATAATTATAATTTTAACACAGCATAAATATTAAAAGATTTCAGCATACCTATGAGAGGACATAAGCAGCAAGGTGGAGGAGGAGCACCCGAACGACATAAGTTGCATAACCAGAGCACTCCATTAACAGGTTCTAGTTCTCCATAGCATCTGGCATGGACCTAAGTGAACATTACAATTCATAGTTCAGTATCAATAAATGGATTAAGTAGTAGAGCTTTAATGATTCATTAAGCGGTATCACATTGTTTGCGATTGCATAAAAAAAATTTGAAGAGGCCATACCATCATTCTGCATTTGTCACACTGCAGAAACAGATTGTTCTCATACTCCTACAGCATAAATAACTCTCACTTAGGAAGCAAAACAATGAGTAAAATTGTAAACAAACAAAAAAAGGTAACATTTCTATTTCCTTATAATGAAATTAAACCACAGGAGAAAGGAGAAATAAGAAATACAAATTGCAACTAAAAGAGCATGCAAGTATATAGAAAAACAAGCAGGAGCTCTAGATGATTGAAGAGGAAAACAAAACTTTGTACCTCATCCATGTGGCACACATTGCACTTATCGAGGTCAAACCAGTTAATATGAACTTGTCTATAACCAAGAGGCAAGTTATTATATCCTCTGGAACCTAGCTTGTAACTCGAGTTCTTTGAAGAGATTTTGGATTTAGACAAGCCCTGAAAATAACAAGTACATGTATCATTGCAAAAACACTTGGTTGGCTCAAGAACTTGAATATAGCATAAACAACAGATACAGAAAGAGAGAGAGAGAGAGAGAGAGAGAGAGATGAAGCCAAGTAATTATCATAAACTGACAAAAACAGGCAAGAAAGAAACAGAAAAGTAGACAGAAGGATGTGAGTTCATTGGCAATGCATGCAAAATTGTCACTTGGTACAACAACAACAATCAAGCCTTATCCTATCAAATATGATCAGCAATATGAATTGATAGACACCATTAAGCTATATCAAAACCAAACACTCTTCAGCTCACTATGTCTTCAGTGGAATAACTTACAACATTTTCAGGTTAATTCCATTAATTTCAAAATTATTGACTTTATGTTCCAGATCAAAACAAAGAGTTAACTTATAATTAAGAACATACCTGTATAAGTTTAACTACTTTAGGGTTGGAGAACCCAAACATATCAGACCCAGATTCGTAGCCCTTTTCCACCCCACCTTCAGCAACAATACCTTCAGAAGCATCCTTTTCCATTTTCTTTATCCTTTTATATACCTCACCCCAGCAAGCAGATGGTGTATAACCATTGAACTGCAACCAAAAATTAATAACATGATTAACACAAGTCATTGGCATACAATTATATTCTAGTATCTTACTATCCATTGCAAGACAAAGGGAAACCAAAGTCAAAAAGTATGGGAAGTTTGTTAAGTATTTTAACACTTAATAAACAAACGTATAAATCCAGCTATTAAAGAGGCAAACAGTAAGCCACCTTGGATCTTAATATTTGTCTTCAGAAACAGAAAATTACAAAAAAAATAGTTTTATAAAGTAAAGAGAAGAAAAAGAACTGACGTGTCCGAGAAGGTGAAATCAAGATATTTATAGGGGATACTTACCCCCAAAAAAATGATATATTAGTATAAATATTAGATAATTCAATACCAAATTATCAGGGAAACAAACATCTACTGGTACAAAACCAACCTGCTCACCACCATCAACTGTTACTCTAAAGAGAGGACGGACTTTGGATTCTGGATCTCTCAACACCTCCATCTTATAAGGAGCAGAAACTTTAGGGTCTAAACAGCAAAAGGGCAGAAAACAGAAGGTTAAAAATCTATAAAATCAGAACTATAAGGACTAAGATAGAAAATATGAAGAATATGACATGTTTGGCTGAAATTTAAAAAAAATCAATCAAAAGGATATGACATGTCAACACCCTTAACAACAACAACAACAACAACAAAAATAATAAATGTTTCACCAGTAACTGAAGTAAACTTCCTCACTGCCATGTACCCTTCGGGCCAGATTAATCTTCCATCCCCGAATGCAGAATCTTCAACTATTTTTCCTGGAAGAAAAAGGAAGTTTAACACTACTGTGATTACATAGGCCATTTTGCAACAGCCAAAATGCCAATAAACTATAAGTAACACCAAAAAGGGGAGAGAGAGTGAGAGAGAAGTTACCCTCTTTGCCAATATATAATTAAAAAATATGCATGCAGTATATCCAGAGACACTTTCAGCATTGCATTTATTAGAAAACAAGGTCAATTTTGTTTGAAAATGTAGTGCGCCACACCAGGGGAATTGCTAAAACATTTCACTATCAAACAAATTAACAGTATACATGGCATCACAAGGTTGATTGTCAGATTACAATTGCCTCATAATGCATATCAATAAATCAAAATTATATCCAGGTATCAAAAGGCTTTCCAAAGGTCCAGTCTTTTGTTTGAACCCCGATGCTAATATTTGTGTTAGTGCAGATGGTTATCTGCAAATACAAGTTTTGTCCTACTATTAGGCAGTTTTTGATAGTTCAGTGCAAAATTTTGTGAGTGTATCTGATTGGAGTAGAATGCTTGCATCTAAGCGTGTTTCCTTGCCCCAAAACATGTTATGGAATAAGAATATAGGATTTTGTTTACTATTTCTTAGGCATTCAGAATTTCAGATCATGGCTGTTCCAAGCAATTTGTTCTTTTGACATGCAAAATATGACAATAATCACTGCATCCATGAGATTTTGCCTCTTCTAATATATATGACAAAAGCCGATGTTTGGTTGCAATGCAACTCCTCATAATCATTCTTTTCTATCCAAGTTATTTATTGTAGTCAAGGAAGCCTTTCGGAATATTCAATATATCCCATGACAAGAAGATTACATAAAGCTGAAGGAACAAATAAACAGTAAAAGGTTAAGTTTTGATGGTTGACTCGGAAATCAGAAAACTTAACCATGTTGCAAGATTAATAAAATAAAGATCCAATCAGGTAAAAAAAAGGTTAACATGAAGAAATTCTTGGGAACAAAAAAATAATGGTAATCAAGAAAAATTACCAAGGCTTAGAATTTGGAGGTCTCCTACTTCATAAGGAAAAGTTTCACTGTTTTCCAGAGCCATCAAAGTCCCCTTGTCATTTAAACAATCATCACCTGAATCTGTACACCCTCCCTCCTCTCCACTTGCATTGTTACAGTCATCAGCTGTACATCTTTTCTGCAACTCTAGCATCTCCAACGGAAGCTTCTGTTCACTTAAATATCTGTTTGAGTGAAATAATTACAAAACCAATAAATTTGAGCAACCATTCGAAAATTCTTTGATTTGGAGTATCAATGCAGGGAGAGCTTTAAAATGCTAAATTGCAGAGAATGAAGGCTAAGCTAGTTAATTTAATTAAGCAGACTTAACTATGAGACAGTGCCTTGAGAATTACCCTCAGCAACTAAAGCACACACATAAGCTACAGTGCATTTGAATAAATCCAATATCACAGGTCAACAATAAACATATTAAGTCATCAACCAAACTATTTAACGTTAAAATATAAAGCCATCGTAAGGTGATTAGATAGGAATAGAAGTTTATCAAACTTGCTTCCTCAGTTTAATGTACTTTATTCATATTCCTCAATGCAATTTTTTATAGTAATCACTCTAGCACATTAAGGACCCAATATAAACTACAAGAACCTAAAACATGCAAATAAGCACTATTTTGTCCAGTAAAATTGCAATAGCAACATTTAAGGTTCACAACTTTTGGCGTTCTATTTAATAAATATGATAACAGGTGAAGAGGAAAGAAAAGGCACGATTAACATTACCTTTTTGCCTCTTCTAAACCTTCAATAAAACTATGTTTCTTGCATTTTGAGTGTAGTTCAGTAAGAAGTCCACTTAGAAATGATTTCACCTGTTGCAGTCTAACCCTGGAAAACAGGAAGAAGATACAACAGAGAGGAACATAATAAAAGGAGGAAAGAATCTTACAGTATAAAGACAATAGTCTCCCACTAAACCGTGAAAAGTATATTTTTCTTAATTTTCACATAATATCAAACCTTGCAAAGTCATGGGTGCCAAAAAATTGGACAGGAACTGATCTTCCTCCCAAAAACATCTTCAAACCCTTACAGTTGCTAGCAAGTGATTCATCCAGAACAACAGCTGGCCACATTGCATGGCCTGCAAAATAAGCAAAGCAATGAAAAGACACATGTTATAGATGTTACAAAATTAACAAGATCTAGTAGTAACGGAAAATGCAAGTAATAATAAAATAAGGTAAGTTGAAGTAGATATAGTGTGATCTCTCAAAAATAGAGTTTAAAGGAAGGATGTGAATATAGAGAAGTATAAAATAATGATACAATTGAAATTTCTCATATTCTGCTTTGCTCTATGTTGTGAGTTTTGTTTTTGATGTTAAGGAGGATAAACTGCAAACCAGTAGATATAAGTAAATAATTTACCATATTAAGTTCAACTTTAATGCTTGAACTCGATAACCATTGGATAGACTACATACCAGTCTACTTCAGTATGACACCAGATATAAGTTACTAATTTACCATTTTAGTTTTAAAAAATATGAGGGTGAGCCTTGGCGCAACGGTAAGGTTGCTGCTTAGTGACCAAGAGGTCACGGGTTCAAGTCCTGGAAACAGCCTCTCCGCTTGCGGGGGTAAGGCTGCGTACATCTACCCTCCCCAGACCCCACTAGGTGGGAGCCTCGTGCACTGGGCCGCCCTTAGTTTTAAAAAATATACATCTGATATCAATGCAAAAAATAATAATAATAATAATAATAGAAGTTACTTAAAGACATATTGTAATAAAATTTTAAAAAATAGGACACAAGTCAAACAAAGTTTTCCACATACAACCATTTGCAAATGGAACAACAGAACAAGATTGAGCAATGGGCACAAACCTGTTAGCTTTGCCCATATGATATCCCCAGGCTCAAAGTCTTGACAATCATCCAAACTTGCAGCCAATGCAAGCATCTCTTCAACATCATAATCAGAGACATTATTGTCACGAACTTTTGCAAAACTCAATTTTAAATGTTTCATCTCATCGCGGGAAACGTGGAATCTTATATTTTCATTTGAAAGAATTAAATTTTCCTCATCACCATCATCATACTTGACCTGCATATAGTTATTAATGAAAGGATGAAATGTCAAACAAATCCAACATTGTCAAATACACAGATAATTAAAAGACCATACATGATGTATCTTAGTTTCCTTATCATAACTTCTGACATAGCCAGTGTACGACTTCAAATCCATGGGCCAGTAAACCTGCAGAAAACAACACTGATAAACTGTAATTGCATGAACAAATTCAGCGAAACAAACATACAACACAAAAGTTACAAAACATAACCTTGCATCGTAAGCCAACAAACGCCTCAGGATCAGCATCATCAAAACTCAACCTGCAGCAAGTGCAATTAACAACCATGTAAGACGTCCTCCTACCATACATAACCCACAAAAACAAAACCTCACATCCCTATCCTCAGAATTAAACATTTTCCTTCCCCCTGCATATTATCCAAAGCACAACCTCCCGAAGCTCTCACTCCTTCAAGTCCAAACAAACACTACATCTCAAAAGAAACAATAAAGACTTAAATAAAGCCGACCGTCAGAATTTTCCATTTCGGCTAGTGAGATCTAACAACTAAAATTCACCCCTTCCTACCACAGCTGAAGATTCAAGCAAAGCATAAATGCACGGAGCTTCAGTTTCCAAAGTCCAAACAAGCAACACTTCCTCACAGCCCACAAAATGCCAAAGAAGACCCACGAGGAACCTCTTTTTTTTTTTTTTTCAATGCACCAGACACAGAGTGAGCAAAAGAGAAAGAGAATTACCCAACCCATTTCTTGACAGCGCGAGATTCAGGCAACAGTTTGGGCAAATTCTCCAAGGAACCACACTTAACATTCCCAGCAGCACCGGAATTCCCAAATTGGCTCCGGCATTCCCTCCAACGAGGCCCATCCGCGTCCCCAACCGCAGCATTCAAACCCCCGCCGAGCCTCTCCAGCTCGGTGCTCCCAATTTTCCTCTTCTTCAGCAGCCTCCTGTCGGCGTCGCTATCGGCACGCCTCTTGCGGCGGCGCGAGTAGACGAACAGGAGCGGGGGCTTGGGCGGGAGCGAGGACGACGTCGGCGGCGACGACGTCGTTTTCCTGTGGTGATCGGCGAAATGCGCGAGCGTGAGCTTGCGCGCTTTCACCTTCTTCGACATGACGTTGGAGGAGCCGCTGGCGGCGACGCGGCACGGCGAGGTGGCGGAGTAGAGGTGGTCGAGCGGGAGGTAGCGGATGGGGGTTCCCCGCGTGGCGTGCACGTCGACAGTCGCGTCGTCCTCCCCGGCGGCGCCGTTTTCCTGGAACGCTGCTGCCATATCGGAATCGAAAAATGTCCGTTAGGGTTTTCCTCTGCAAAGAGAGAAAAAAGAATAGAAAGCGTGGCGGTGTGGTGCGGTGTGGTGTGGTGTGGTGTGATTTGGTTTGGTTTGGTTTGGTTTGGTTTGGTTTGGAGGGAGAGGGTTATTCGCCAAATAATTCTGTTTCCCGCCGTGTGGAGAGAGAGACCCACGCAACACACAACACACTCTCCTCACTCTCTCGCCTCCTTCTAAAGTAGGAGAAGAGAAGAGAATAACATAACCTATGTAATCGATTTTCATCTACTGTCCCATCCCATCCAATTCCAATTACCATTCACTTTTTATCTAAATTCTTCCTACCACGAGGACACTTTTTTTTTACATAAATTTTACTTACCTATTCAATAAATGTCTTCAAATGTAGATTATCCACTTAATTTACGAATGTGTGCCATTGTGTTCACATCCGTTGCTACAACAACCTTTCCGGTTTGCCATCTGTGGATTTTTTATCTATATCATACTATTTGTTGGTTCAACTGTAGATCATGTTTGTTTGAAGCAATGTGATAGTTTGTTTCTTATGTTATGTCATGACTATTTTTGTGATATATAAGTGATTGCTTCATGCATTTTTTGCTCACTGTGATTATCAGTTTTTTGCAAGTACTTTAAAAAGTTTTATATTGTTTTTTAGAATAAAAGTGACTTGGTGTACACTTGAGAGAAATTTGCTACCTTGTGTCATTTATTTATCTATTCTCTCTTTTTTCTTCTGTCCTTTATTGTGGTAAATTGCATTCGAAGAAAAAAGCTTCAACAATGGAAAATGGAAGAAAAACCAATGCAGTCACAACAATCAAGGAATTCGAAAAGGCAAATTTCACATCTCATGATCAAATATTGAAAAAAAAAATTGTATGGACTTAAATACTCACCAATGCAATGGTATAACAGATGTGATTCCCTCGTGATCTAAAATGTCTACAACAAAAAGTTCATTTGGCAGTAAGGAAAAATATGGTTATTTCATCTTATTATGTAGATATGTTTATTGCAAGTGTTGATATTGATGCAAATTAAAGAAATTACCGAGCTCATAATTTGAAAATAAAGACTTGGGGATGGACATTTCAAATTATTTGTTAACCAGACTTTTAGGGCTAATGAAGATCATAATCATTTGAGTTGCATACCCTACTCAAATGCTATAAAAAGCCTAACACATATTATGGTTTTTATAAGTTCAGACCTAACATATGCTGCTAACATGGTCAGCGGGTTCATGGGAAAACCTAGGGAAACAACATCAGTGAAATGGTTTTTTTAATACTTGAAGGAACTAAATTAGTTGGTCTCATACATTATCTAAGGTTGAAAGTAGTAGTTTAATAGGATTTGTTGATATAGAATTACTAGGGATCCTAAACTAGCTATTTGTTAACCCCAAGCGTGTGGTTCAGCGATAAGGGTTGATCCACGCTTAAACAAGGTCAGAGGTTCGAATCTTGCCTTGTGTATGCAGCCGCGTTAAATCTTAGGGTCAGCTATCCCACCCTTTGAGGTGCCTCCAACGTAGCGAGGAGATTAGTCACTGTTGTCGGCGGTGGATACTCCAGGAACGAACCAAAAAAAAACTAGCTATTTGTTTTCTTCGTGTAAATAGTATGGTCAATTTGTAATCAATTGTACTTTCTACCTCAAAGTTCATAACATATACGGCCTCACTTTTATATGTAAAATTCTATTAGCCAGTTTATGTTTCTCCATGCAATAATATGTGTCTTGAGAATAAAAGTGACTTGGTATAAAGGTAGGAGAAATTTTGGTGTCATTTATTTTATTTTATTTTGCTTACCATTTCGTTATCTTTTTCCATTTTTCATTATTTAAATCAGCCTTGCATCAAAATGTTGAATTGTTAGCATAACAATAGGTGAAATGAATTAGAATCTTTTAGTATAATCTTTTACATTCAAACTCAACATTCACCAAGAAAAATATTTTACTTCTAACACTGATTTTTTAATTTATCGTTAGGATCTATAAATTTTGTATTATATATTATAACTTTCTTTATTATTTTGGTTAAATTTAATGTTATTGGAAGAAAAAAGTAGATTTATGGTGTCATAAGCTGTATATATAGTGTTGGGATTCATCGAACAAAGAACAATGATGACCACATGTAAAAACCATGAAATCGGGTGAATTTTTAATAAAGTAACAATGATGATTCTTTAAAATAATATACCTAAAAAAAATAGGGATTATTGATATTTATAGGCAAGTGTTTATCTAGTATAATTGATGCACCTACTAGTTTTATGCAATCGTCAACAAGTGAGATTGTCCATGTCAAAAATGACATCCTTGTAAGAGTCTAAACGTCAACAGGATTGGTGTGTGATGGTCAAATTGTTTATAGAATAATACATCATGCACAGCTACTACGTCTATGTTGTGGACCAACTTATGAGAAGATTTCGTGCCATGATAATAGGCCCACATTTGATACAAAACAATATCAATTTCTTTAATTATTTATTCATTTTTTTCTTGCAATTTATACCAAACTTTCATTAATATTAGTTGTGGTAAAAAAAAATATTAAAAGAATTATTTGTAACTTTGGTGAATTTTACTCCTTAAATTTAAAATGTTAAAATTGTTTGTGTAAATATGCATACACCGACTATCACTTACAATGTTTACATTATTGAAGTTAATTTTTTATATAAAATAATTAAATTATAAAAATAACGTATAAAAATCATTTTATCTATAAGATCTCATATATTTCATTTAAAAAAATTATGAAATTTGATAATTTATCATTTTATAAAATATTAAAAAAAATAAGTGGGTGAACGAATGAAATGATATAAAAGTAAAAACACATATTTTAATGATTGGATGTTAGTATAGATTATATTCATTGATGGCAAATTCATTTATGTTAAAATTGATTTACTGTAATGCATGGATAAATTATGTAAGTGAGATATATTTTTATTATTTTGAAAGATAAATTATATTTAAAATATAAATATTAAAATTAAAAAATTCATATTTTTGTTATATAAACTATTTAAAAACTAATGTATTTTCATATATTGAATAACGTGGTTAAATTATAAATAATTATGTAATTTATCAACCGTATTAATAAAGATAATTATCTTCTTATCAACCGTATTATGTAGTTAAACACTTTTTATTTTTTAACAAGTGTTTTCTCTTTTCTCGTGTAATATGTATGTCTCGATAAATCGTTTCTGTTCACTTAAAGTCAATATTCATCACTAATTATCAAACTACTTACAAATGTTCAATCTTTAAACTTTACACTCAAAATGTTTAGTGTTAAGTAGGAGGGTTGTCATGTAAATCTCACATCAATTAGAGATAAAGTCAAAATGATGTATATAAGTTATGAACAATCATTACCTTATAAGTCATTTTATTTTAAGGTTGAATTACACTTACCCCACTTTCTTAATAGGCCACCTAATTTATCTTAACCTCCCTTTTAGTTCTCATTTCCTTATTTAAATAAAATACATAAAGATACAAAATGTCTATCTTCCACTATTTTCTATGTCATCCATGTAATCTCAATTGACAAAAGATGATTAAGAATCACATTCACTAAGGGGGTGTTTAGTAAAAGAAAAAATTTTCAAGACAAGGAATCATGGTTCCTTAACAACTTGTTTAGATATAAGTTTACAAGTGTTTTCGATAACTTATCTAAGATATGTCCATTTAAACTTAAAAGTAAGTATTTTTAATAAAAATATTTATTTAAGAAACAAATAAGAGTTGTTTCTTGAAAAAAACTAAAAATTGTTTATTTTAAAAAAACAAGTATAGACAAATACATAAAAAAATGTTTATTTTATTTTTTTAAAATGCTTTTAGAGGAAAAAAAACTAAACAAATAGACTCATATTGAAAAATACTCTCTATTTTTAAGAAAGAAGCTCTTAAAATCATTTTTAATGTGTATCTAAAAAAATTCTAAATATGTTTAGTTGGTCATAAGTGTTTTTGGGAATGTATATAAATGTTACTTAAAAATCAAAGTTTTTTACTATATTAACTACACAAAATTAAGGTAACATAATATTTTTTATCATAGAAAAATATTATTTTTAATTCATGAATGTTAGATTCTATACGAACAATTTGGTGAAAAATTTGTATAAAAAAGTAATCGAAAAACTATGTTTCCTATAAATACTATTTTTTAGATGATAAACCAAACATGAGAAACTGAACATATATTTGGTTCATAGGTTTTTTTCTTTTGTGGAAATTTGAGGTTGGGAAGGTTAATTTTCCAAGTTTGGTTTACCAATTAAAAAATAACATTCATAGAAAACATCATTTTCTCATAATTTTTTTACTTACGTTGTGGAAATCTTACATTCCTGAGTTAGTAACATTTTTTAATTCTCAAGTAACATTTATAAATATTTTTAAAAATTATTATGACTAACTAAACAAATTTTAAATATTTTTAGGAATCATGACCCCTGGGATTTATAATTCATAGAAATCATGATTTTTGGGTAAAAACAAAATTGGATGTACCAAACACTTCTTAAAATTCTCAACTTCAAATTCTTCAAAAAGTAAAAAACATTTTTTTATTTATAAAATAATAATAATAAATGAATATAATACTAATAAGGATATCACATATGATGTCATGGTATAATAATAATAATAATAAGAATAATAATAATAATAATAATATACAGTATATTATATATCTTTATAATATAGTTAATAATAATAATAATAATACATGTAATAAGTTTTTCGTTATAAAATACCTCAAGTAAGTTCAATTTAGGTGAAAAAAACAATGCACCAACAATCTTTCTTTTATAATATAAAAATAAAATAAAGATTAAAGATAAAACATACTAACAAAAATTATCTTTTCACTGATAATGAATATAATTAAAAAACATAATTATAATATGTTTATTTTGAAAAATGTATATATTTTAATTTGAATTGAAAATTAAAAATAAAATATTAATTATAATTGTATAATTTGCTAAAAAATTATATAATTAATATGTTTGGAACAAGAAAAACTTATTTTCTTTAACGTGACGAGAAACACAATATTAAAACAACGTCATAAAAGAAATAGGACAAAATCGCAAAAATTTATTTAACGTAGCTCCTCATGTCTACGTTCACGAGGATGTTCATTATTTATTTTAAAATGTGTTACATATATCTTGAAGATCATCCCTTCAAGTTTTGTGG